TAATCATTTAATATATTAATAAATTTTGATTTTAAATAAATTAAATAATATAATATAAATAAAATTAAACCTTAAGATGGCTACGGCTAGAACTATGTATATTTTTCATAGATGAAAATAATTGTTCTACAGATGCAGAATTAATGCACACACTAAAAATTCGACATGCTACTAAAGCAAGTTCACTTCCATCTTTTCCAATTGAATTCCAATACTTCAATACATCACCTTGAAATTGATTATAAACTGTAACCTGATATGGAAATTCTTGTTCATTAATTCTTCAAATTCAAGAAGTATTTGTTGAGGTTCTTTTTCAAACCATACTTTATAATAATAAATAAGCCAACCTTTAATAAAGCGTGAAACTTTTGAACGAATATTTTGATTAATATTAGTTTCGCGATAAATTGGATGAAGCCAAAAAGAAAGTTATAATAAAGGTTGCTCCCATTGTGCCTAACGCCTTTCCAAACGATCAATCATTTTTCTTGAAAATTCTACATTATCGTGACAATTATATAGCTTATAAAAATATCTAAAGCAATGTAAAACTTCATATAATTTTGCTGTATCTCGTTGAAGTTTATCAAGTGCATTATATAAAGGAATTAAATGGTCTCTAAGAATCGTCAAATTAGACCAAAATTCATCATCTTTAATTATATTACAAATAGAAGCTTTTAAAGGTTTATCTCGGGTTGATAAATTTTCATATTTAGTAACAAGAATCTTAAGTGCAATTTCAGTTTTAACTAAACTATTAAAATATATATAATAGCTATTCCATCTTGTTACACATGAATGTTGTAAAGCAATTACTTTATCATAAATTGATTTTTGTTCTTCACAAAGTTTTCCCAAAAAATAAGATGAAGTATTAAAAAATGAAACTAATTCTATTGCTTTAGTTGATACTTCACGATAATCTGAAAATTCTTTGAATATTTCACCTACAACTAGATTAACTTGATACGCAAAACAAGGTAAAAATAACAATTCACGATGTTTTTGACGTAAATATGATCTAGCTGCAGTATATGCATCAGCAGAATCCATAACTACACAAATAATTTTTAATTCTTTTTTTTTATTTTCATCTAACCAGGTTTTTATTTGATTAATAGCTTCTTCAGATCTTAATCGTTCAGCAGAAATATTCTTTGCTTCCCACACAATACTATGTCCTGATAATGTAATTATTACAGTTCCAAGAATTGATTGCTTAACTACATTCTTCCAACCATCGAATGCAACTGTAAGACCAATTTTTTCTGATTGTGCAATTGATTCAAATAATAATTTAATATCTTTTGCTGTGTCTTCTAAAATATTTTCAGCTAGATTTTTTCTTGATGGTAAAGGTAATGCTGGATTGGCAAAATGAATCATTTCTCGTGCTTCATCATTTTCTACCCACCTAAATGGCCAACCACAAGATACAGTAGCTCTTAATACAAGATTATGCCAATGTTTAGTACTTTCAGTGGTAAGTCATCGAGGCATATAAAAAAGAATACTATCATTACTTGGTTGAGTATCAGTAAAAGTAGGTTGTATAGATTATGTAGATAAGGATCTTGTTAAATTGATACTTGGTAGTGTAGAAACTAAAGAAGTTACATCTTGATTATCATCATAAACTTCTCTTGAACGTTTTTTACTATGTGCTTTTTTTAACCGTTTTTGACGATCATCTTCTTGTTCCTGAAGAATACTAGCATATATAGAAGCCCATTCTTCTTCATTAAATTGAGCCTTAAATCGTAAACAATCTCTTAAATGGTTTTGACATTTTTCTCTCTTATTATTCATTTCTTTAACTATCAATAACAGATCATTAGCATTAATACAAGCTAAACATTTAGCAGTCTTATAAGTTTTATTCCATTTTTCATCTGAAATACAGAAGTAACCAGTCCATTTGTGTGGTGGTTTACCACCGTGTGATTTTTTTGACATTATCAAAAGTTTTGATTAAAACAAAAGTATAAAAGTAAAAAGGGTAACCTGATTGATAATATTAATTATAAAATTTGAGTACAAATACTAAATTAATCCCGCAGTGCCATATTATTTTTTTACATAAGAAAAAAAATACAAAAAAACTTTTCAAAAATTAGCGTTTAAGAGGAATAATAATTCCCTATGTGCTAGTTTTTTTTTTCTTCTGATAATATATGGAAGAAAGTTAGGCAAACTTTTTTTCCCTCCTTTTGAATTTTACAAACGAAAAAAAGGCAATTAACAAAAAAAAAACTTTTTTTTCCTGAAAAAAAAAATTTATTTTGGTTACATTAGTGTTACATCTTGATCGATAATTAATTTTTTAAATGATGTTGGACAATAAACTCCAATAAACTTCAATAAATGATCAACCAAATTAAAGTTTATTGTGTTTATTGGAACAAGTAGCCAGTTTACGCCTCAATAGCTAATAACTAAATAAACTATTACTGGTTTATGTTATTATTAGCTATTGGTTATTGAGGTTCAATAAACTCGTAGCCAGACCAACCCTGCTGGTAGGAGGGTAGTAGAAATATCCTATAACTCTGGAGCATATACCCAATAAATGCTATTCTACTGCTCCTTCAAAAATTATTTTTTTTTTCAGGAAAAGATGTAATCTCACCACGCAGATCGATAGATCAAGAGGCATCGCATAAGCAGTCACACAAAGCTACAGATAATTTGCAGTGTATCACTTATTACATCATATACACTTTAACGAGGATCGCAAAACGTGTTTGTTGTATCACGCATGCATACATGCATTGTGGCTGGACAATATATTATTTTATTAAGATAATATTCAGTATCTGGGTCAAGGACTGATCTGGAAAATTCGGCAGGTGATACATAGCGTCTTCGACCAATTAGGTATACTAGGCGATCATGCATGCAGATTATATAGCTACTCATTTCGCAAAAAAATAAAGTATTATAAAATTTATAGAT